TCAGTTAATGGTTTCACTTTGTGCTCTGTGTTCATGATTCAGGTCTGTTATGTCACCTGTCACTAGGCAGAGGGTTGGGCTGATCGGGGTGTTTGAAGGCTGATTTATGGGTTATTTTAAAACGTCTCAAAAGCGGTGATCAGGGCTTATGTAAGTTTCAGACGTTTATATGAATGTTGAAACATGGGGGTATGAACTGGATCCATCAAACCACCCAACAAGACCAAATCAGGACCCCATTCTTTAAACGTGGCTTAACTAATTCAGACTAACATGCTGTTATCAGGCTAAAATAATCCTGTTAATGTGTTAAGGCCCTGACACAGGCCGTAGGTCAAAGTCAGGCCGTCCGTGAGCGTCTGTCGCCCTTGTTTTTGCTGTGTGTCCCGCACTGTTGGCACTTCGGCGTCGGCGGCTTTTTGACTGATTGAGCATGTTGAATCGGTGGCGGAGCTTGTCGGTGAGAGAGATCACTTTAATTGGCTGTTCAGGTTTTATTCCCTCGCCCCTGTAGCGAGTGAATCTGCCTGTAGTGAAACCGGGGCTAACCGGTGCTTCCTCCTCAGGCTCCACTTCACTCAGCTGCCCACAGATCCGCTGCTTCTTCCCACTTTAACCTGAATAACAAACCAGGTCTAGCTGTGAGGCTAGCGGAGCATTAGCCGCAGCATGACCGGAGGGAAGCACAGCCAGTTAGCCTCCGCTAGCTTCCCAGCTAGCCCCGGCTCTCCTGTTGGATCCAACCGGAGCACCGAGCCCTGGTTTGTTATTCAGGTTAAAGTGGGAAGAAGCAGAGGGTTTAACGGGCAGCTGAGTGAAGTGGAGCCTGAGGAGGAAACACCGGAACCGTCTGGATGTAATAGTCCGTGGAGGTGCTGCGGTGCTCGGCTGCACAGATAGGAAACCCCTCGGCTGACAGGATGTACCACTTTGTCACTCCGCTACTTTGTTTATATCATGCATTCCTCGGACTTCCGGCTTCCCTTTTTGCGTTATTTCTTCTCACGCAGGCGCAGAACGAACGTGCTACTTGGCCATCGGATGTAGTCTTTGTAGTGTGTTCAATGCAACTGACACAGGACAACATGAGGCGACATGAGGCGACGTAGACGATGCAACAGTTGGCTTTCGTTGCCGCTAGTTCTTTGATGTCGGTTTGGTGTGTCAGCACCTTTACGCGAACGGTTACATCAGTCGGAGGCCTCCACGTAGGGGAGACAGACAGGACAGGAGAAAACTCCGACCAATCATTGCATTTGTCCGAATGCAATGATTGGTCGGAGTTTTCTTAGAACCATATGAGAATGAAGACATCAGCTTATTAATAGCATTTTAACCTAAACAAAGAAAAGTGTAAAATTTCCAGAAAGGTAGGTGTTGCTTTAACTGTCAGTAACCTGAAATGTTGCAGGTTTGGGTTTAAGGACTTGTCGCAATGATCACAGTTGTGGATGGATTTTAAACTGGTTTCAAGGAACAAAAAAAATCCAGACTGTTGCGGGACAAACTGACCGGCAGTGAACGTTTTGTGATAGATTGAAGAAATGTTGAGATTCTAGGGGCATGAATTCTATCTCCAAATGTAGTTCAGTGATGCAGAATAGCTGAATATGAACATGATGTTTGCACTGCTCAGATTTTTCTCTATCAGCTGATACATAGCTGTAAATGACTAGTTTTTCAGTTCTTAGAAAGTTTATTCTGGGGAGGTTTTCTCTGCACAGATTTACTAACAGTAATTCCTGGACAGAGAGAGTCAGTGTTAGCTCTCTGTCTCCTGGTGATAAACAGCAGTGAAGTGGTTTAACAGGAACTCCTCTCTTTAAGCATTTACCCTTCACTTGTTCATTTGTGTGTGTTACATAACATAAATAAACAGATATTCTACATCAGTTTCTAAACACGTACACAAGTACGAGATGTTGTGGCACCAAAATGTACACACACAGATTTATTGCCACTACTCTAAATAAAAGTCATAGTTCATACAGAAGCTTAAGTCTTTGTTTCTTAAGAAAACTAATCTAATTTGTGGTTTTAGCGAGTTATAAACTAAAATATCAGTCAGCGCTAGGCTAGCTGTTTCCCCCATTATCCCAGTCTTTATGCTAAGCTAAGCTAACAATCTCCTGTCTGTATAATTTCATATTTAACAGACAATATATCTTGTTTGTTTAATCCCTACAAAAACTGAAGTGTAAAAGGGATCATTTGTCATTTTAGGGAGTTATAAACCACAGTATCAGAGCTAGGCTAGCTGTTTCCTCCATTGTCCCAGTCTTTATGCTAAGCTAAGCTAAGCTAAGCTAAGCTAACAATCTCCTGACTGTAGGTTTCATGTTTAACAGACAACAACGAGAGTGGTATCAATCTTGTCATCGAACTCTTTGCAAAAAAGAAATATGCGTATTTTCCAACTAATGTTGAGCTAATATTCAGCCATTTAAAGGGCCAGTGTGTAAAATGGGTTGAAAACAGTGACATCAGTGGTCAAATTCTAGATTGCAGGGCTCACTCGCTCACCCCTCTTGTCGGGTAAATGTCGGCGGCCTCGTAGGGACAAAAAGCCTTGCGCACGAGTTTTTCAGGAGTAGGTCTATCTAGCGACGAGGTGAATATTTATTTAGAAATCTGAACCATGTTACCATATTGTAATGAATCCCTCACGAGCAGGAGACCAGAGGAGCGTTCGGGAAAAAAGCCAGTTTATTTGAGCACTCCACAAACTCCAGTAACACTCCAGGGGGTAAAAGACTCCGTCCCAAACTCTGACTCTTCTAGCGTAACACACACACTTCATACACACATACTCGTTTACAATACCAAGCGGGTAACCCCTCCCCTCTCTGCTCCACCAATCTCCAGCCCGCACACTGACTGACAGCGTAGCCGGTAAACAGAGCTCAGCTGTTTATTTAGCCTAGCAATATATCCGGACTATAGTAGCTGCAATGGACGACTTTGAACACGATTTTGAAGAGTTTCTTGTAGCGGACACAGACCCAGAGCCATACTTGTTTGAGCCGGAGCATACAGGTGAGGAACTGCATGTGTTTGATGCTGAGCGGGCGAGAAGAGAGGCTGAATGCACAGAATGGGATTCGGTGCTACCATCGTTGGGGAGATATATCATCAGGAGGAAAAGCGCAGCAGAGAGTGCATCACAAGGAGTAAGGTTGCGTCTTCTTTTCCTCGCAGATGACGGTTCGGGTTCATTCTCTCCTGTTGCGTGGTAAGTGTGGTCCATTCGCAAACTTTATAACTAAAAAGCTTTTCACTACTCTCTATCGACGAACTACTAACACTCTGCTGTTTCCTCCTCCTTCTTCCTTCCTTCCGCTGTCTTCGTTGGTTTATTTATACACGCGAAACGCGTTCTCTGGCTGGCTGGATTGTCCGCTCGGGCTGCCTTACATACGTGGCGGTGCAAGATGGCGACCTCTCTAAAGCAAGGCCCTTGCTATATATATATATATAAAAGCATAATTATAAGGCTATGAAAACCAAACAAATTTTATTTTATAGCGATAATACACTTATATAAACATATTAATGGGTAGAATATTCAGATTCAGATTCAGATTGACAATAAACCATGCCAAATATTACACACTGGCCCTTTAAGGGTTGGAAAATACTTAGAATGCTATAGAAATATTTTTTTTCACTGGTTTTGATTCAGTATTATTTAAATGCAAGAAAAATACTCATAATTTTGTTCTCAACTCTTTATTAAAGCTGTTAGAATAGCATTTAGACATAGACAAGAATCAGTTCATGTTTGGTTCAGTCTTTTGAGGCACTCTTGTTCAAAGCACGCAACCTCCAACGTCTCCCATGTTACTGCTCACTGACCATTAAAGACAATGTTGATACTTTATAAATAATCCTGCATTTGAGTTTCTCGATATCCCTCAACCGTCTCCTCACTATCAAACATCTATTTTCTTACTGTCCTTCCTGTAAACAAACTCTATTTATCACCATCTGCTTATCGTCTGTCTCTTCCTCCTCCTCGTGCATCTTCCCTTTCCTCCAGTCTTCTAATCAGCAGCCTATTGTGTTAACGCAAACACAAACAGGGTGGTGGCTCACCTGCCAAACATGGAGGAGGAAAAAATAAAACTTGTTGAGATAAAACATGTTTACATAAAGACAAATGTCAGTTTAATGGCAGATGGAAAGACGCACGAACAAAGTCACTGAATCAGTCAAAATTTTGAATTACATTCACTTTGTATTTTAAGACACTTCAGTCCACTTACAACAGGTGCATTAAACCTGAGCTAGATACCATCAACAAATGTCCTTCAAGTGCATCCAACAGGTACTTTACACTTTGTTTAAATAAAATATTATGGGCTTTATTTAACTTTGTCTCATCTTCAGTTTCAAACAAACAACATTTTACTTTCTGTGATGTTAAATTTAAAGGATGAGGCAAATATTGGTCAAGTTCACAAAACTATTTTAAAGCTGCACCAATCATTCATTCATATATTCATTTATTTTCAACTGCTTTTCCGAGACACAGGGGCAGCAGGCCAAACAAAGCACCCCAGACGTCCCTCTCCCCAGCAACACTTTCCAGCTCCTCCTGGGGGACCCCAAGAAGTTCCCAGGCCAGATGAGATATGTAATCCCTGCAGTGTGTTCTGGGTCTGCCCCGGGGCCTCCTACCAGTGGGACGTGCCTGGGACACCTCTAACAGGAGGCGACCAGGAGGATCCTGATCAGATGCCCGAACCACCTCAACTCACCCTTTCCGACATGAAGGAGCAGCGGCTCTACTCCGAGCTCCCTCCAGATGCTCCTCACCCTATCTCTAAGGCTGAGACCAGCCACCCCACAGAGGAAACTCATTTCGGCTGCTTGTATCTGCGATCTCATTCTTTCGGTCACCTCCCAGAGCTCATGACCGTAGGTGAGGATTGGGACGTAGATGAACCAGTAAATCAAAAGCTTTGCCCTCTGGCTCAGCTCCCTCTTCACCCTGACAGTCCCGCATGGCGCCTGCATCACTGCAGATGACCAGCAGGCAGAAGCTCCGGAGATGGATCCGCGGTTGGCTGTATCGGCTTGAATTCAGCCAGCGCAAACCCCCCCAGCGGCAGGTTTTACGACGAGTTGTTGGCCAGCGGTAGTGCCGGGTCTAACCTGTGTAACAGAAGGAACAGATGTTTGCTGATTTGGTGGGGAGTCGGGGCTGTTCAGTCCTCCAGAGCTGCTGCCTGCTGTCTTCGAGGTGAGGTTGTCTGTAGCATCGGGGAGTGAGGCAGAGGACAAATTGTTATACGAGGTTCTAGCTAGTGTTAGCTACATAACGTCACCTTAATGCTGCAGCTTTGAGCCTTTGGATTAGCAGAAGGCTAAACTATTAGCTACATTTGCACTCCACCTCTGAGACGCTTTGCTGATATTGACACCAGTTTTATTTTGTTGATTATCAGACTGTCTTTTATATAAGTGCTTCTGTTTCTGGGTTGCTTTGCAGTGTAGGCAGTTGCCAATGCAGGGATAGTAACTTTCTCTGTAGGATTTTCCACCACTGAATCAGGTTTTCAACATCTGAAGGGACGTGCTAGCACATCTGCATTTGTAAAGCAGCCAGTAGGACCGCCCTCTACCTAAAATGACCTGTGATTGGCCGAAGTCTCCTGACACGGACTAGATTTTCTAAAGCTAGCCAGAAGTCTAGTTTTCTCTCAGTCCACTTAAATTACAACAGGCTCAAAGTCTATAGCCCCGAGCCTCGGCGAATGTTGGGCTGTTTTGCCGGCAAGCTGCGAGCGTTTAGACACACAGAGGCGGATTGGCGAGTTGATCCGAGGTGCCCAACTTTCCGCCTCATAGGGTAGACATATTGGCGGAAGCCTTTAAGTTTAAACAGACCAAGGCGGCCTTCTGCAACGGGAGGGGCTGTTGAAGACTTGCGGGAGGAGCTGTTGATGACGCCACACGTGCGACCCACTCGCGGTGGATAAACAGGAAACAGCTGATAGCAGGAATTAGCGAGCAGCTAGTAGCAAGAGGGAAACACAAACCTGACAGACACTGTAAAGATGAGCAACTGGGGAGACAAGGAATTGCGCGCCCTCCTTGCCCTCGCAAACGAAGAGGCCATTAAGCGTCAGATGATGGGGACGGTGAAGAACGGACAGACTTACGAGAGAATCGCCGTCTGACTACCGCCGCCTGACTACCACCGCCTGACTAGCTGCGGCTTCCCTCCCATGTCACCGTTTACGTCACAAGCTGAGCTACACGTTTTGTTACTTGCTCACGCCCCCCATTGCCCCGAAAAGGTGCATTCTGTATAAACAAAAGTAGGTAGGCGGCAATTTTCCGCCCTTCCCGATTTTGTTTTTATACTGCCAATGCTGAAAGAACACTGATTGGGCTTTCCTGCAAATTTGCACAATTCCTAATCTAAAAAGGGCTTATGATGGGATTCTCGCTCAATGACACAAAAATAAAACTGCCTATCCCAGCTTTAATGCTGCTTTGACTTTCAGACAAGATCCCAGCACTCGCTAAATAAATGTGAATATGTTCGCAAAATAACGGTTACATTTTTTAGATTTCTTTTTTTACTTAAGTAGCACAGCTACAAAAACATGGTGTCTTTTTGTTTAAATTATTCATTATTAACAAAATACACACAGAATATGTTATGTTGTCAAACTGTGCAAAAACTTCAAAAGCACTAAGAAAGAAAATGGTGTTCAAGAGGAAAAATGTTCCAAAGTGGCGAGAAAATCACAAAAACACATGTCAAACTCAGACAGATTGCGAAGAGAAGCACAGTTTATAAGAACAAGGAGTAACATCAGACAACCACAAAGATTTATGACCTCAGAACCACACTGACATTAATCTGAAACATGAAAGTCTGGTGAGAGCTTCACATCATTGTATTTTTAGCCAAACTGTCATTTACAGCTGTTTTCCAAGACCAGCACTCACAATAGTGTCACAAAACCTGCAGCCTCCAGCTACAGAAACATTTAATGAGATCTTTTCGTAATTTCATCCCTCCCCTACGCTGTAAAAACAGACTCCAGGAGACAAAGAGATTGAAAAGCAGTAAGAGAGATGAATTATATCAGCCAGAATAACAGTGTAATCTTTGTGGATTGTGAAGGATTAACTCCTCGGTCAGATGCAGGTCTGACAGACAAAAGCTCCCCCATCATCAGCTGCATGTTGCAGAAACAAGACACCAGCCGACAGCTTAGAGACCAAACCACAGACGAGCCCCATTGATTTCCTTCATTTTTTGGCTCCTAACATGTCCCGACATGGCCAGCAGTGGAGCTAACACATTTTATAGTGGAGTTACAGCCAGCTGAGCCCCGCGTCGTCTCTGAGGAGTCTTTGTGTTACATTTATGCTTGACTGGTTTATGACTCAGATCATTTTTGTCCTCTCACTTTAAAAAAAACATGATTAATTATGGAAAGTGACTGAAATAATTCAAACATAGTGGCCTCAAGAAAAACAAGCATATGTCTCTGTCACCGCATTCTTTATGATGCCCTTATATTCATCAGTGGATATAAGTGTCTCTGATTTTAGATCTTTTTGAAGATTCTTCCACGCCCATGGTGCAGAGTAGGAAAATGCAGTTTCCCCCAAATATGTTAAAACCTGGGGTACATTAAAACTACCAGAGCTGACACACAGAAGGGAGCAGAGGTTGAATGGAAGTTTGCCCAATATTGCTTTATAGATAAAAAATATACCAGTGCTGTTGTCTGCGAGTGGTCAGTGACGTCCAACCCACCAAATCATAAAGAATGCAGTGATGGGTAAGGGATTTAAGCAGACCTCCTGTCTATTTCTGTAAGCTGACACCATTTCCCTCAGTAGAAACAAAGCTTTTATTTACTTTAATTTCACAGATAAGAAACAATAAATTGTGAAGACAATAAAGCCTCCTCTAAAATAGCATTTTAAGTCTTGTGTGTGATTTATCCTGGCTTCATATGAGCAGAGGAAATCTCTGCTAGCTGCTAGGCTAATTTAAACAATATAAAATGACATAGGCTTGAGCTAATAAAATTAGCATGTTATATTTATTTGGAAAACATATTAAGTATAAGACAGTTGTTTTGTCAGTGAACCTTGTGAGTTGTAACCGAGCCGAATGTTGTAACGTTACCTTTGTTAAATGTTGCTGTTGTCCCTGGCTTCATATGAGTAGAGGAAAAGTCTGCTAGCTGCTAGGCTAATTTATACAATGTAAAATGCCATAGGCTTGTGCTAATAATGTTAGCATGTTGTATTTGTTTGGAAAATGTGTCCAGATAAAGACAAGTGTTTGTCTGTGAATGCTGCGAGTTATAGTGAAGCTGATTTGTGTACTTGTGTTTGAAATTGTCTCTATTAAGCCATGTTTAATGTGTGTTTAATGTGTGTTTTGAATCAACTAAACTTTACAGCATTTCAAAGAAACCTCACCGCCAACTAGTGTTTTTGAGGTGTAACTGCAGAGTGAAACAGACACACCACCGCACAAGTATAAATGCTCACAGCAGCGTATATATGGAGCCAGTCTAAACACCAATGGCGTCATTCTATAGTCATTACATGGTGCAATCAACATTTACTTCACAACCCCTCAGGAATGACAGCAACAGGTGCTGGCGTCAATGAGCTGCTGTATTGGATTTAAAGTCAGGGCAGGTCTCTGACATCAGGCCGTGTTTCATGTTTCCTCTGAGATGATTCTGAGGGTAAAAGTTATCGACATGACCCTGTAAACCTGCTTCTAAGAGCTGACCTCTTGTATTCATGCTCCAATGGGAAAGTACCCAAGAATATCTGCCAGGGTTAACAGCTGTATGTGAGCATTTTTATAGCACAGATTTCTTTATTCACTCTACAACATGAGAGTGGTGTTTTTCACACTCACCCACTGGAGGTTGTTTTTCAAAATGTCAGCTCAGTGTGAATTAAACATGGGAAAGGATGTGTTTTCAAATGTGTCTGCAGGTCTGTGGCCACGTTTATGAAAGCTCATCACAAAATAGAACCTAGTTAAATTCTGTGCACATGTGCAGGAGTTAAACTGAACTCTGTAAAGCAAATTTGAGGTAATTTTTTTGCTTAGTTTGTGGGAGGTTCAAAGGAAACAGATCTGTATCAGGGTGGGACGCTACAGAGGACTGTGTGTGTGTGTGAGTGTGTGTGTGTGTGTGTGTGTGTGTACAGTCTATGTTTATTTGCTCTTATCTTGGATCCTGTCCTTATCCAGGCGGACAATCTCAGCCTCAGATACCGACCGGCCGGGCTGAAACCTCACTGTAAATGACACACATTCACCATTCATACGGAGCAGAGACACATTGACTTCACTGTCAGACATATGAAATATGCTGATATGCCGTCGGCTGAATGCACGCTGACAGACCTCACATTGAAACAACAGACAGAGCAGGTGTATAACGAAAACATAATCTTTTATTTCAATTATAAAACTACTAAAATCCTCCAGTTGAAAATCCTCGGTAACATTGAACAAAAACCTTGTAAGCTACTGCAGGGCTACAGAATTAGCTTGCTAACTAAGGAGGCTATGCTAACGTAAGCTTGCCAATAGGCTAAAATATTGTTCATTGACATTAAGAGTAAGGATAATGTCATTTTGCAGTTGCAGTTACCTGTAGAGGACAAATTTTCCTTCGTTTTTATTACCCTATTCAAAACTTTCATCTTTATCCTGCATAATTTTTGATTCAGGGACATGACTGCTACACTGATACAACCTAGCCTGAATTAAAAATTACCCAGAATCAGCATGATGATGGTGATAGTCCTGGATAAACCTCACCAAATCTATCCAGGATCAACATTTTGTGTGTGATTTATCCTGGCTTCATATGAGCAGAGGAAATCTCCGCTACTTGCCAGGCTAATTTATACAATGTAAAATGCCATAGGCTTGTGCTAATAACGTTAGCATGTTGTATTTGTTTGGAAAACGTGTTTAGTATAAGACAGTTGTTTTGTCAGTGAACCTTGTGAGCTGTAATGGAGCCGAATTTTGTAACATTACCTTTGTTAAATGTTGCTGTTGTCCGTGGCTTCATATGAGTAGAGGAAAAGTCTGCTAGCTGCTAGGCTAATTTATCAGAATCAG